ATATACTTATATTTTATACTTTTAGATTAATTATTATAATTACTTAATATTAGAATAAAACTTATAACTCTTATAATTAATCAATAATAATTATTTATTCTTAAATTCCGATTTTTTATTTCTAAAATCTTTTTAGAATACAGAACTTTATATATACTACTATTTTCAATATTCTTGTATAAGTTTCTATTCCCTAAAAACATTCCTAAATTCTACTTATATTAAAGTATATCTAAAATATATATAATAATATTAATAGAATTAATAATAGTAATATAAAGAAATTATTATATTATCCTTTAATTAATAATTATATTATTAATATTAATTATTTATTAAATATCAAGAATTATATAAATTATTATAATTCTTGATTTAATATATATATCAATGATTTTATTTAATTAATTTATTTTGTATATCCTTTTCTCAAAAAAAGTAATATTTCAAATAATAATAACCCATTTAAGTTTAAATATTTAGATATAATAAATTAGGGAATTTGATATATATTTAATAAAATATTTAATATTTATTTTAAAATCAATTTTATAAATTTTTTTATTTATATCTAATTCTTTTTTTTTATCCAAAAAATACATTTTATATCTATATTGATATATTCTACTTTAATTTAAATAAAGGTTAATAGTTAAATAATTTATAATTGTTAAAGCAAATAATTATAAATATTCTTAAAATCAAATATTCAGTATTTTATTTGAAAATTTGAATAATTAAGTTTTGAAAGAATTAATATTATATAAATAAATAACAATTTATATTATTTCAATTTATAAAAGATTAGATATATTTATAAAAATTTATATTTTAATTTATTTGATAATTATTTTTTATTTTATTCATTTCAATCTATTATTTGATTTATATATATTTGGTAAGGATAATTCAAATTCTATACTTTTAGTTTTAATTCAATTTTTGAATATAATATTTTCTAAATATTTAAGTAAAAAAATTCTGGATTATATTAAATACTTCAAAATAGATCTTTTGATATAATAGAAAGCTAAAGATTTTTTTATTAAATATATTTTTGATTATTAAAAGCTAGAATGTTTTAATATATATATATAGAAAATCGAATAAATTCTATTAGATTTTGTAGAAAGAATATAGTGATTGGGATTTATTAAAAGTTTGTGATATTATTTGCTTTGTATATATATGTGAATAATCAATATATTTAATTCTAAAAAATTCTTTAATTTTTATATTTCTTGTTGAGAAGATGAGATATTCAAAAACTTTTTTATTTAAATATTCTAATCGCTTATATTAGAATTATATAAAATCCTTTTAAGATTTAAATAAATTTTTTGATTAGCGAAATAGTTTTTTGATATTGAAATTGAATGTAGGATATATTAAAAGATTTGGATTTATAGATATTATATTTAGGTTGATTAAATAAAAAAAAAAATTTATATTTTAAGAATAAGAGATCATCTTTATAAATACAATAAATAATAATATAACTGTTTTTAAAATTGCTTTTTTGTAATATAAAATTTATTCCTAAAAACTATATTCTAATATCTAAAAGTTTTGTTTTTGAAATAATATTGATATGAAATCTAGGAATATATATAATATTAAAAAGGATTAGATTATTTTTTAAATTTTGAGATCTTTGAAGAATGTTCTTAATTATATAAATATTTTGTTTAATAATCTATATTTTTAATATTTTTATTTCAATATAATTTGATATTGGTGAAGATATGTATTTATATTTATTAAAAAGATTGATATTATTAATAAGATATATTACACTATTATTATTAAATATAATGTTATTAGAAAATTAATAAAATGAATTAAAAGTAATAATATAAATCCTATAGTTTATAAAACTTTGAATAAGACAAATAATTATTCTTAATCCAGAATCTTATAAATCATAAAATTAAGAATTATTATTTTTTGAATTAATTTATTCTTTTTATTCCCATACTTTATATATATTCAATTATTAATTGTTTTTAATTCTTTTTCATATATTATTATATTCCTTTTTTATTAATAAAATCGAATTCCAGGAATTATATTTTCTAATAAATATAAACTTTATTAATTAATATATCTTGAAATAATGATTTCTATTTGTTTTTTTATTTTTTTAATTAGATTTTGATTTATAAGAATATTTGTATCGATTATTTATTCTTTTAAAACCTTTTTTTTGAATATTGCTTTATTTTTTTTATAAATTATTAGAATTCTATTTGGATTTAGAGTTGATAATTGAGAATATATTTTTATCTTTAAGGGTTAAAGAGTTTTGATAGATTAAATTATTAAAGATATTTTTAAATTGTTTTAAAGAGTAATTGGGAATTCTGAATTGATTGTTGATTTTGATTTGAATAAATATAATGTTTGTTTAAGTGAGGAGTATGTATGTTTTTATAGTTTGTAGGAAATTAATAATTACTAAGTTATTTTCTATTTCGATATAATATTATTTTGTAGTTATATAAGCTTTAATTTATTTATTATATATTTGATTAGATCGATTCGATTTATAATTACTTGCTAAAGAATATTTCGATATTTTGAGTAATAATAGATTTTGTAGTTATTATAATAAATATAAGTTTATTCTGTAGCTTTTAAATAATGGTTTTGAGTAATAAAGCTTTAACATTATTATTTTTAAAAGTAAATTTTATAAAGTAAAATATATTCATTGTTTCTATAATCTATTTATAAATATTCTAATATAATTTATATATAATATTATATTTATCTTCTAATATTAATATTTTTTTGAAATATAAAATGCTTGGTTGAGATATTTTGAAAAATAATTGCTTTAGGTTTTATAGATTTAAGTATTAGCTTTTTAGAAAATAATAATAAAATTATTTTAATATTTCCTTCCGAGTTTTTCTATTGAGATTATTTATAGACATTAAAATTAAAGATATACTTTGCTTAATTATTCAAGTTATATTTTCTTATAAAATTAATAATTGTAATAAATTCAAATAGATTCTTAATAAATTAGTTTTTATTATAAATAAAAATCAACTAATAAAAAGTTTTTCTATTTTCTAAGGATTTTTCGAAACTAATTAGAATAATTAGAATAGTTTTGGAATCAGATAGTTTAATATCCTTCTAGATACCTTTCAATATACAAAAGTGTTATAGATTTAAAAATTATCTTAATCAATACCCACAAATAACAAATCAAATAACTTCTAAGGAATTGAATTTCGATATAATAAAGTTATAAAGAAATATAAAAAAAATATGTATAAATCAAAATAATCAAAAGATATATATATATAATAAAAATACAATATAAATACCAACCAGACTTATAACTATTACAAAGATAATAGCTATATCTAATAATCATTTTGATTAGGGAATAGATATATAGAATAATAATAAACTAAATTAACTTAAAATATAATCCTAATAATTATATTTGCTTTATATATTTTAATTAAACAAGATACTTGTCTAATTAGATATATAAAATACATAAATAAAATGAATGAAATAATATTAATAATTATAAGAATAAGTATTCCAAAGGAGTACTGGGATTAGTGCTTATAAGGTTATACTATACGGTGAATTCCGTAATAATATTGTATAATCATATATCTCTATAGCAGGCTATTTTTGTATTTGTAGATTTATAAAAAAAAATTCATTAGTTATAAGTTATTACTAATATTAGAATAGGATTATTTCAGCTGAGTAAAAAGAAAGTCTTAAGGAAAACTATACGAAATTATTTTAATTCAATAATAAAGAAAAATTATTATATCATCTATTACCTCCTATTTGAATTAGTTTCTAAAATCTTTCAAAATAATAAATTATCGTTTCGAATAAAGAACTAATAAAAGATTCTCTTTTGAATAAAGAATTCTTTATCTTGAATTATAATAATATTCCTCTATATATAAAAGGTATGAAGAATATATAGAATTTTTCCTATAATATCGAATTTTTATTATTTTATTATAATAATAGAATTTTATTACTATAATTAGTTCTCTTAAAATTATAATAATATTAAGTGATTTAATTAATATTTATTAAAGATAATCGTAATTAAGTACAGATCAATTAAGCTTTTAAAAGATTATCTAACAAACGATAAGGTTTAGCTTGAAGACATTATATAATACTTTTGACTTCTAAGAAAAATACATCTAATACTATATATAAATAAGAGAACAATAATCAAGATTATATATAAGGTTGCGGGTCATACTGAATAGCAATTGTTGATTCGAGAAGGATACGAAAGACGTAGCACTCACGTATTCGAAGCTCCTAAATGTCTAATTGTATTCTATCTAAAGAGCTAGCTATGTAGAAAAGTAGTAGGCCTTCTATAGGCACTACTGAAAGAACTAGTCTCTTTCTCTTAATCCCTTTAATAAAGTAGCTATTGAATTGAAGTCATTCACTCTGGTTCATATAGCGATGATACTTTTTATAATTGCAAAATCGAAATAAAAGACTCAAATAAAGATTTAAAGGAAATTCCTTTTATAAATACCTTTTATAAATAAAATAGATCTCGTATGAGGTGATAGAGTTATTTTCCTATACAAAAGACATCCGAACTCTCCTTTTATGACATGAAAGGGCCCGCGCATAAGGGGTAGGATTCTTTCGTTAACTACGGATTCTACTACTATCTATAAGGACTGTTCAAAGTATGTCTCGTATGAACTATATATATTTTATTATACTAAAAGAATATATAATATAAAAAGAACAAATGAGCAATGAAATATATATATAATTATTATACTGAAAGAATACATAATATAAGGAGAACAAATGAGCAAATGACTAAGTATTGAATTAAAATTGAAAATGTTGTAGTATTACGCATAGATCAATTCCGACCGCTTTTTCCTCCTACGAATAGACTACTATTCTGTACAGCCAAATCACGTTATGCGAAATTTTCAAGTTTTGCTTTACAAGAGACACAACTATGCTCCGATGTTAACTTGCATCAGCCTTGCACCAGTAACAGCCGTCATAGTCGCCCAATCCATGCCTCCACTCGTTGTGACATACAGAACATTTTTTCCATTACTTTTTCCCAGAGCAACGCCTGTTGGGGTAATAAAATCTGTCTGGTTCTGCACCACGATTCTTGCTGTGCGCTTCTCAATATCGATCTCTTGCAAGGCGTTGATGAAATTGGAAGACATCCAAGCTTTTTTCCCGTCTCTTGAAATGGCAAAGGAATGAGCATCTAACGTCGCGATAATCTCCGAAGGTCCAGTTGCGAATCCAGTCGTGTTTGAAATTGGAATTCTGCTTAAGTTTGAACCCTGATTGTTGTAGTAAACGTAGGATTCGTAAGTACGCAAAACGCTGACGCCGTTGGGGTTAGGGGCGATAGCACGTAGGGCAGTATCGTTGATGACTCGAACATATTCACCGGTAACAACGTTTACTCGGATGATTTCTGCGGCGATGGGATCCGAGATCAGGAGATAAGTTTCGTCAGTTGGGTGAAGGCGAGCGATGCCATTAGCGAGCCGCACGTCTGGTAGCGCTGTGACAAGTGAGATAACCGGGTCTGCTTTACGCAGATCAATTTTCCAGACCCCGTAACTCCCCAAGATTGGGCCGGTGGCGACAGTATAATTTCCTCCATTGACATAAAAGATGTCCCTCCCCATCTCGGTGATACCGTTGGCACCGTTGCCGCCAGGAATACTAGCGACAGTAATGGCTTCTTCAGGGCTTTCCGGATTCACAAGACGGATTGCGCTTGTTGTTGCAGACGTGACAAGTACCTCTCCATTGTGTCGGACCTTTTGCGAGCACTGTTAGAGTACATGGAAAAACAGTGTTTATGAAAGGTACTGAGATTTTAGACTTACGGCATTACTGTCAAGCCAAGTTGGATTGGAGAACTCGTGGAGAACCTTTATCGGGTATTGTTGCGCCGAGACGAAGCCCTCAGAAACGAGGGGTATCAAGGCTAAAGCTTGAGTAAGATGGCAGAGGCGCATTGTGGGCTATTAATAATTGAGATGAAAATGATTGAAAGATGTTCGTTGTTTTGATATACTTGAACCATAACACTCATTGAGTCTTTATACCTTCCACTCCGGGAAACTCGGAGTGTGTAAAAGGTAGATAAAACTCTATTTGTAGTTAAGAATTCATAGTTTGTTAATAATCGAGCTTACAAAGTTCTCTACAAACTACTGAAATCGTGTTACAAGAAAGCTAATCTCTCGAGTAATATGATCAAGTTTTTGTTATTCATTGTCTTCTGATCAGAATGATATATCCATGCTTAGAAAATTATACATTACGCTTCCAACCATCATAGAGAGAACAAGAAAATGCCGAAAATAGGGGTGTATGAGACCCACTGCCTACCTCCTTTGTACCTTGCATGCACAGCACATCAATTAAGGTTTGCCAAGCTGATTACGAAGTAAATAGCTCCATCGCAAGCGAATTCTTACCAAGCATGACAGTGCAGACTGGTGGGAGGAGGGGTGCCGTGCTAAGAAATAATGGATACGTCGGTCGCCCACATTCTTGCCCCATGCACTAGGTCGATATTAACCTTAATCTCACGGAGATATTCTTTACCTCGCCCTCCATATGTCAGCAACAAGACTACCTCTCACTATATTTCCAACGGCATTTGTAAAGTACGTTTGGTTCAGCTCCCTTCCATAACAGTGCTGCGTAAGCGGGTGGCTCCCCTATTCTATAAGCTGCGGCCATAGCTAACTTTCAGAAAAATGGGTCATAAGCGAGGGGATACAACTACCTAGGTAATTATATGGTTTTATTCTGCTAGAATTTAGTGGGGAACGGAAGCTGATTCTAGCCGCAGCTTATTAATTAGTTTGCTGTATGTATTCTATAATATAAGTCGTTTATTCGAGTTTTTATACCCTGGTTTATTGATTATAATATATAATTAAATTAGAAATTATATTAGATCTGAATCAAGAATTACTTAAATTATTCAAAAAAGAATATGATTTTTTTTTAAATATTTTTATAATAGTATTTTTGAAAGGCTAAAGTCGGAAATTCGAAAAATTTCGAAAAATTCGCTTATTTTATATGAGAAAAGCGTTACAAGTTAAAAATTCTAAGCTTTTTCAATTAAAAGCTTATGTAACTTTTTAATAAAAATATTTAAAAAGAAATTAGAAATTTTACAGATTCGTAGAAGCTAATCAAGTGATCATGTATTTCATTATATAATCATAAATTCTTATAAGCAGGTTATTCTCGTATTTGCAGATTTATAAAACCCCTTTTAATTGATTAGGACTTAGTTGTTCCGACTGGGCAGAAAGGAACTTAGTTTTTTTCAGCCGAATGGAAAAGGGAAAGCTTATGAAATCATTTTAATCTAGTATATAATCTTTAAAGAAAAGAAACTTCGATTAGAAAAGAAGTGATTAGATTAAAGCAATTGAAAGCTTTTGAATGCTGTCATTAGTTTTAGGGTAGGCCCTATAATAGTGGTGGATTCGATTGATTGACTTGAAAGGAGGTGTATTTGAAGGTGCATTTGTAAGCAGGGACAAAAATATCAAGTATGTACGAATGAGTTGAAGGTTCAATTCAATGCGCAGCAGTTAGAAAATCAAGTAGCTTTTCATTGCAATCTACAAAAAACCATATACAGACAGCTGAACCTCAAACTATTCACAAATCATCCAGCGAACTCCCTTGCTCCTGTTAATATGCCGAACCACAAATAAGCATCAATACAAATGTACAGGCTGATATAGTCTCCCTCCAAAACTATCTATCAACCACTACCAACAACCTCCCCAAACCACTGTCTCAATACTCCCGCCAACACACCTGGCAATTCTCCTACATCTCCGACTACAACATAATATCTGAATGGGAAAGTATCCAGATATCTCTCAATCTTCACTTCACTTCTTCCTGTCATCTCATTGTTCACAAACTTTGCTTCCTTGAGATCCAAAACACTTTCTCCCTTCTTCTTAGTTCTCACATCATCCACAATCACAAATACCATTAGTATTCTTTCCTCCTCCGCTTCTCTCAATAATCGTCTGATATTATCGTGTTCAGAAGAACTACAAACGCCATCTGAGATGATCAAAGAAATTTGCCAAAGATCCGCTGGAGATGATGATGCTTTTTGTCTAGCAGTGCGGAACAGATTGATACTCTCGCGAATGAGTCTTGTAATATCTGTTCGCGATTGCTCGAATCCGAAATTCTCGAAAATAACAGGTCCAGCCTCAGAACTAAAGGGCACATCAAATTCATGTGCCACCTTAACGTTCTCTCCAAATCCAACAACACATATCTCGCCAACCTCAAGCATAGCGAGAGATCTTGAGATCATGACTAATGTCTCCATTGCGAGACTTCCGGAACCGGATTCTCCCATAGATTTGGAGTCGTCGACGGCGAGCATGATTTGGTAAGAACGTTTGGAGGGGATACTACGACGCATCCAAATCTTATCGCGCTTGAATGAAGAGGCAATGTAAGGAATGATCCGTTTGATGTTAAGACGTTTACCAGTACGGAAATCACCTCGCATTTTAGTTGCCAAGGTAGGAGCGAGGATTAATCGAAGTTGCTCAGTCAAGGAAAGGGAAAGTGGTCGCGTGATCGATTCGTAATGAGTCCATTGGGCCCGAGCTTCGGTTGCAGATCGAACAGAAACAGTAGTATTAGGATCAAGATGAGTGTTGTCGAGTTGTGTGTCAACTTCTTCGATATCTTCATCCATGTCCTCATTGGCTTGAGCGCGAGTATTGTCGTCCATATTTTCATCCATATTGTTATTGGCTTGATGGATAGAAGCTCCTGCTCGACCTTCATACGCGTTGGAGGGTTCCTTTGGTTCTAGAGTATCATCTTCGAGATCCATAACATCTTCATCAATGACATCTTTCTCAACTTCATCTGGCTGGAATATTTCTGGCATCTCTTGAGTTTCCGGATCGACAGCCATAGATTCATCAAGAGCATGAGCTTGTTCCTCTGTAGCAGTACCTAAGGCTTGAGTGTCCGCTTCAGCGTCTTCGTCTTGCAAATGTTGGAATTCATTGCTTTCTGTTCCCATATCAATGTTCTGATCTTGAGCTTGGTCTTGTTGCTCAGTAGGCTCTCTGATTTGGGATTGTTGACGATGCCATTTCTCGAGAGCATCTCCAAGCTTCTTGAATGGCTGCGCAGTAGGGCTATCTTCAGTATCATCTTGAGTGTTCTGTGGTGCATCACCTGCAGCTTGCCGACCCTTTTCACCATCTTCGGCAGCTGATTGTTTGTTCTCAGATGAGTCGCCACCTTGACCACCATCATCTCTTTGAGCCTTGCTATTGGAGTCGGCATTTTTATCGGCTTCATTATCGTCCTGATCCTCGCCAACGCCTTGAACATCACTTGGAACAGCGTTCTCGGTATCGGCTGTTGCTTCATCCTCGCGATCACGCAACAAACCTTCTTGATCTTCCGGTTGTTGTTCCTCTTCTGGTTCTTGATCCCCTTTCTCGCCGGCCTCTTCAGCCTTATCCCCTTCTTCATCTTTCTCCTCATCCAAATCAATAATATCCATCTCATCGCGCATATCTTGATCTTCCTGGCCATCGACATTTTCAGCATCAGCTTCTTCCTTTCCATCATTTGCAACTTCATCTGTTTCTTTGGCCTCGTCTTCCATATCTGGAAGATCATCCATCCCGTCATCCATCCCATCATCACTACCATCGCTCCCCTCTTTCTCTTCTCCATCCAATTGCATATCATCAGGTAAATCCAAAGCATCTCCTTCATCGGCATGTGGGTCATGCTTTTCTACATCGTCTTGTTGCTGAACCTCCTCGCTTTGCTCAGCTCCTGCCATCTCCTCCTCCTCTTCTTCCCCATCATTACCCTCATCGCCCTCTCCAGATTCTTTGTTGTTTTCTTGAGCCGCAACTTGTTCGTCTTTGGAAGCCTTTCCTTTGGATTCATCCCCTTCTTGATCTTTCTCAGCTTGCTCATTATCACCATCCCACATCTTCTCATCTACTGCGTTAGGATCCAAATCATCCACATCTCCAGCTTCCTCATCCATCTCATCACCATCTTTCTCTTCATCTCCTGAGCCATCCTCGTCTTCTTTCTCTTCAGCTTCTCCCATTTGACCTTCCATCTCGCCATCAGCCATATCAACCGCATCTTGTTCATCTTCAATTTCTCCTCTCTCTTCCTTGTTTGGTTCCTGAGCCAACTCATCAAGATCTTCATCTTCTCCAATATCTTTGCTTATATCCTCAGCACCTTCTCCATCGCCAAGTCCAGTTCCCCCTTCCAATTTCTCGGTCTTGCCATCTTGCGCATCTTGTTTCTCTGATGGTGTACAGAAACCTTGTGATGCGATTTGTGTAAAAGTCTTGGCAAGAATGTATGAAGTCTTGCACGTTGAACGATGTAAAGTAGCGTATCGAGCAATGCTTTCTTCCAATGTGTTGTAGTATTGTTGGATGATTGGAAGGGCAACTGCAAATATCGCACCAGCGCTTCGACTAACATTGTTATCTGCAAGATTGAGGCGTTGAAGGATAGCAAAAGACTGCCTGATTTGCCCAGCAACATTGTCACAGTGGAGAGCTTTGATGCTGTTCACGAGGGTAGTATCGCTCTTGATGAGCCAACCTTGATCTTCAGTTGACGTCGGCAGATCACCAATGGATTTGTGATATTTCTCCATGGCGGCTAAAATTGTGTTGCAAACAGTGGAAAGCTTCTGGTCGAGATCTTCCAGGAGAGCCTCTGTAGAAATAGCTGTAGCCGATGATGAGTTGATGACAGTCCAAGGTAAGATCTGATCAAGAATGAATCCTAAGTCTGGACGCTGCTCGATGAGATTACCCAAATCAATTGTTAGCTGCGCAGTGGCATCATTGATAGCCATCTCGAGCTCTAGGCGCTGAGTTGACACAATGCCAGATGGCAGAACAGACGACGAAGACCATCTGGTCCGAAGGTCAACGAG